AGTGTGCATTTAGTGTATGTATAAGAATACGAATCCACAAGGATGGGCAACCACTACCACTGTGCAATCCCAGAACAATTTCATCACCCCAGAGCTGGGTAGGGTGGTGCATGCCTGTAATCCCAGCACTTGGGAGGCTAAGGTAGGAGGATTGCCGCAAATTCAAGGCCAGCCTGAGCTGCATAGTGAGTTCAACATCAGCCTAGACTACACACCGAGACTCTGTCTCCAAAGAAAAACATCATCACCCCCAAAAGAAACTCATACTCATCAAAGACATCCCTCATTCTCCCACTCCCCAGCCCAAAGCAAATCAGCCTCTATGGGCCCTGTCCCACCTTACTTGGAATCATAATATGTGTACTTCAGGACTAGTTTCTTTCCTTTGCTACTATGGTTTGGATCTGAAATGTCCCCGAAAGTTCAAGTGCTCAAGGCTTGGTCCTAGTATTTAGAGGGAGGGAGCAGGTGCACCCTTGAAGGGAATGTGGGATTGGGCCCCTTTCTCTCTCTGCTTCCCAGCTGCTATGTGATGCCACCGTGAGGCACTGCTTACCTCGGGACCGTGGCCTCACACCTCCAAAAATCAAGAACCAAAGTAAACCTTTGCTCCCTCTGGGCGGACTGTCCCAGCAATCTATTACAGTAACAGAAAGCTGACAAATCTGCCATAATGGCCTGAGGGTTCACTTGCGTTATCACACACACCACATCTATGCCCAGGGATATCCCATGGAAGGGAATGCGCCACAGCTGCTCCCTCAGTATCAATGGTCACTTGGGCTGTTCCCACACGGACCACCAGGACGGCGCTGCTGTGCACATAGCTAGCTGCCCACTAGCGTCTCTGTGTGCCTCAGCTTGCAGTTCTCTCAGGTACACACCTAGGAAGGGAGGTGCCAGGTCACCTGGCAGCTACTATCTAACTCTGAGGAACCGCCACAGTTTTTCAGTGGCTACACCATTTCCATCCCACCAGCAACGCATGAGGTTTCTAATGTCTCCACAGCCTCCAGTAGGTAGATTTTCACACCAGACAGAAGTCTAAATATAACAGTAATGACGGCAATTTATCAAGTGCTTCTCACATAGGCACAGGGAGCTGGCACTTTCCATGGCAGTCGCCTCCACGACCATCACGAGTCCAGTCTTCTATGCTGAGCAAGCGTGGCTCTCACCATCACCAAAGCTTGGCTGTGAGACTGCTTCCTTGGGACTAAGCAGAAGCCAGAAACACATTTGTGATCACAAATCTCTCAAAGAAAATAAAACCCAAGCTAAGCCCCAAGGCAAAGGTGAACTGAGCTGAGTTTAGACTGGCAGACAGAGCAAGGAGTAAACTCGGGGTGCTGGCACAGACAGTGGGAGCCCCCATTCCTCCGGTGGACAGTCACCTCTCAGTCCAGAGCAGGGAAGGGAACAAATCCTTACCACCCCAGCTCCCTCCTCACCTGCTTCAAACGCTGGCTTCTTCCAAATGATTTCTTTGGAGGTGAATGTTTTTGCTTCTAATAAACCTGAAAGCCTGCAGTCTTTCATGTACCTGTTCTAGGAGGCTCTGTGGACCTGCAGGGAAGACGGGTCTGCAAAGGAATTCAGTGGATGCTGGGTGCTGCTACTAGAGCTGGTATAAGACTCTCTCCTTGGCATCAGCTCATTCCACACCACACATGGTGCTCCAAGAGCACCCCACATTCTCCTGTGCCCTTGGCAGGGACGGGAGGCAAAACTGAGCTTCCCTGAAGTCACATAGTGAGTAGATGTGGCGATCACACTGCAGGCTGCAGGGCTTGCGGGGCCCCACCTAGATTCCTGCAGCTGCGTCCTGCACACATTTCTCCCCCTAAGATCTTTTCCATCACAGACCCTGAGTCTCAACCCCAGGTAAATACCAACCCCTGCCCCCACTGTTAGGCCTGACCGCACACAGCCAAGTTCCCTAATTGGAGGGCTCACAGAAGGGACTCTTGATAGGTACAAATCTGTTCACCTTCTGTCACTTTGCTGCACTTGCCCTGGGTAACCCACCGGAGACCTCAAATATGAGAGAGAAAATAACCTCCAGAAGCAAGCTTTACAATAGAATACAGTTCATAATGGAAAATACCGGAAACAGCCCAAGGGTCAGTCAATAGCAGACCGGTTAAATCAATTACAGAATTACAGTGCTTTTATGTAACTCAATACCCTGCAAAACAATGACGAATTTGTGCTAATACACAGTGATGCACACGATATGTTAAGAAAAAACTGACCCCATCTTATGAAACACACTGAAGCTGCACGGGGCTCCATGTGTACAGATGGAAATCTCAAACTTTTTGCTGACAATACACTCATGGTACTTATGGTAATTATTTCTATGGAATGAAACTGAAACATTTTAGCTTGGTGTGGTGTTGCATGCCTTTATTCCCAGTGCTCTGGGAGGCTGAGGCAGGAAGGTCACAAGTTTGAGTCCAGCCTGGGCAATTTAGCAACTTGGGAAGGAACTGTCTCAAACTCCTATCTGGGGATACAGCTCAGTCCAAAAGCCCTGGGTTTAAAAAGCAACACGCTCTCTTTTCAAACAATTTAACCTTAAAGCTATTCTGTGCAGCAGAGTGAGATCAGAGCTGGGGGCTGGGGGAAGGACTCATCCCCAGAGAGTATCAGAGTCTGTGGAGCTAAGACAAGGACAGGTGGAGGGAAGGGGTGGAGTGTGAGGACCCACAAAGGGTGAGGAGGAGTGGGCATGGGGAGGGACCTGTAGAGGAGCTGGAGGGGCACACATGAGAGAATTATGCAGTATGCAGTGAGTGAACGATAAAAAAAGAGTAGGAGCCAAGTTTTTCACTGTTTTAAAAGGAAGTAGCAAAAATGAAAAGGGAGAAAACTAGCATGAAGCTACTAGACACTAGCATACTAGTGTCGGTATGAACTCATGGTTTTCAGTTACTTAGCTAGTTATACAAATATAGACCTGTATGTATGTGTTCACATATTCCCTATGCCTGTCTAATGTGAGGGTCTGGGGCAGCAGCAATATGGTACCGCAAAGCTACAAGCACACCCAGGACTCGGGTCATGCTCCCCACCCCAGAGACAGGAAGGACCTCACCACACAGTCCTGACTGTACTCAAATTCACAATCCTCCTGCTCAGCCTCCCCAGTGCTGCGAACACAGGTGGGCACTGCCAAACCTGGCTGGACCCTGCTTCCCAATACCAAGTGCCATTAAGAAGAAGGACTCCTTGGAGAAATCAATGGGAGGCGGGGAGACTGTAAAATGAGCCTGGAATATCGTTATGTCAGAGTAAGGGAGCGCTCCAAACAGGGGATGAGCAGCAAGCGTGAAGAAACTACCACTGGCCACAGGGGATGAAAACCACTGAGGGAAACAGGAAACCCTGAGTCCACAGACAGGGTGTCAAGGACCTCTACAGAGAAGCCTGAGGTACCACCTCGGTCAAGTGACCAAATAAAACTCCAGGGGAAAGAGGCTGAAAAAGATCAAGCCCCAATCCAGAGGACACAAGGTGGAGGACACAGTGTTGCCCTCGACAGTCCCAGCAACCACAAAGACAGAATCAAGCCAGGCATGGTGGCGCACACCTGTAATCCCAGCACTCGGGAGGTTGAGGCAGGAGGATCGCTGTGAGTTCGAGGCCAGCCTGGACTACATAGCGAGTAAGCCAGGCGTTGGCGCACACCTGTAATCCCAGCACTCGGGAGGTTGAGGCAGGAGGATCGCTGTGAGTTCGAGGCCAGCCTGGACTACATAGCGAGTTCAGGGCCAGCCTGAATTACAAAGGGAGACCTTGTCTCAAAAAACGGAAAAAAAAACAAAACAAAAACAAAAACAAAGACAGAATCAAGGGGGGGGGCCTCAGGCACAATCATGCTGAGGGACACCCTACAAAATAACTGGCCTGTAGCCTTCAAAGGCACCTAGGACATGAAAGTCAAAGAAGGCCTGAGGAGCTGCTCCTAATGGAAGCAGGCCAAGGAGCCGTGACACCTCCGGGCAGGCTTTTATTCTGACCGGTTCCTTTCCTCCGAGACAGCACTGCCAGTCAGGTCAGCATTAGCATTTGCATTCCTGCTGCACAGGAGAATCTCCTCATAAGAAACACACCAGGCAGAAAACTAGTAACCAGGCAGAAAGTCAGTAAATTTTTGAATGACATATGGGTGGGGGGGCTCTGTACCACTTGCAAATTTTCTAAGAATTTGTAATAGTTTCACCATTAAAAAATGTTTTTAAAATTGTAAATGCAAAAGAAAGCAATGAAGATAACATTATGCTAACTTAACAGGGGAGTTTAAGTTGTTATGCACCAGTTTTGTCTCCACCGAGCTCTGAGACTCCGGCAAATGCCCTCTGCCGGTTCCGACTGGGCCACAGTGCTGGAAGAACTCAGCCTCTCCTCAGGAAAGTCGTCCACCTCCAAAGCCCTATCCATACCCCTGGGCGCTGGGATGACTCCGGCTATGCCAGACACCTCGCACAGAAGAACCCCAGGCTCCGGTGGGGCCACCACTCAGGAGGCTCAAGAGTGAGAAGGCAAAGCGACTACCTTGCTCTGCAGGGCAGGTCACAACAGCAGGGCAGGCTCCCACCCAGAACAGTGAGAACTGCTCCGTCTCCTACCTGCACGGGCCTCTAACATGTCCAAGCTTCTTTCCGTCTGTCACCTCATAGGATCCACACAAAGAAAATGAGCCACAGGCCCCTGGAACTCTGCCTGACCGAAACCGTCTGCCCCACCCAGCATGGTGCCCCGCAGAGCACGCCCTGCTTGGCGGCCCCGAGGTATTCTGACTACATGCAGCACATGTGACCATACGACCAGCGTCCCACCCCTTCGTGGGCACAGCCTCCCATCCCAGACAGCGAGGACTGAGGGGCTGCTCACCATATCCTAGTGTCTCCCATGAGGCCCCAGCCCCAGAAACCCGCACCCGAGGACCACACAAGTGACGGGCAGGTGGAAGATGCTCATACGCCCGGTCCTACCTGCTGCTGCTGGGCCCGGAGGTCGCCAATCTCCTTCTGGTCCTCCTCATGCAGCCGCTTCATGTCTTCCCAGGACTGCTGCAGCAGGTTCCGCTCCCTCAACAGCTGCCCATTCTCCCGCCGCAGCATGTCTACGTCGTCCTTCAGCTGGGTCTGGTCACTGAGGAGCCGGCTATGGAGGGTGCTGAAATGCGTTCCGCAGGCTGTGACCCCAGCCAGCCTCCCCCTGTCCCACCTCCAGGCATCACCAGTTCCTGCAGGCCCATAGCAGCCAGGTCAAAGACTGCAAACAGCCACATTCCTTTTTTTTTTTTTTTAATTGAGACAAGGTCTCACTTTGTAGCCCAGGCTGGTGTTGAACTCTTGGCAATCTTCCTGCCTCAGCCTCCCAGGTACTGGAATTACAGGCATGCACCACCATACCTGGTTCCAACCATTTTTTAAACACCTGACAACAGAAGGAGGGGCACGTGTATCCCCAAGGAAAGAAGACAAGCCCCACCTGGTACAGACACGGTAACACAAAGTACTGTGTCTGGGAGAAACACCAATAGGTGGGCAAAGAACCTCAGAGTGGCTCCAGGGGACCCAAGAGCATACCACACCAGCCTATGCCACAGAAGCAGGTCATGGTAAAGCTATGACAGGGTCCAGAGACCAGCTCTGATCTCCAGCTGCATGCTGCAAACAGCTGTCGTATCTGCCGGGTTCTGAAGTGGGCAGTAAGTGATGGAAAGGGTTCACCTTCTTTCATAGTTAGGCAAGTAAGGCTCAAAGGCTTAATTCCTACTGCTGCTTGCTAAGAGGCAGAGGCAGGGGCAGGACTACAACTAGAGGCCCTGGCTTGGGCACAGACAAAGAAGGACAGACGATAGCAGATGGGCAGGCGGTGGGTCCTCCAGGTGCACTCACTGGTAGAAGTCGGTCTCCTTGGCCACCTCCTCGCACCTCTTCAAGGCATTGGTGTGCTGGTTCTGCAGACTCTGCAGGTCCGACATGGCCCGCACACACTGGATCTTCAGTCTCTCATAGTCAGGGTTGAGCCTACGATAGGGCCTGGCCCGTGAGCAAACGCCCATGAACACCAGCCCCAAGACTCACACGGACCAGGGGCTGAGTCCTGGACGAGCCCAGTCCAGTGGCTCCCACACCCTGGGCTCCCCCTGCTGCCTATTAAACCTGGCTCCCCTGGCTCCCAGAGCAGAGGGAGCAGGATGCTGAGGGTGGAGCAAGCCCTGCTGCTGGAGCCCTCTACACGAACCTGGAGGGCTGAGGAGGGGCTGCCTCAATCCCTAGGAGGCGTGGGTCCTCCAGAAACCTGGGAGGAAGTTCCTCCTGTCTTCAGAGAGCAGATTCTCAATCTCAGGCGCACCTCAAGATACCAGTTCACGGACCCATTACATCAGGATCTCTGGGAGTCAGACCCCACAGGAGGACTTTTTTTGTTTCCAGTTCTGAACTTCAACCCAGGGCCTCACACATGCTAAAGTACTCTGTGACTGAGCTACACCCTCAGGTTTGGTTTTTTTGGGTTTTGGTACTGGGAATCAAACTCGGGACCTTGTGCTTGCAAGGCAGGCAGCGGAACCACTGAGCTAAATCCTGGGTCCACGAAGGTTTGGTTTTGAAGTTCCTGAGGGATTCCAAATGCAGCCAAACTTGAGAATACAGGCCAGGAAGGGGGGGCTCTCAGCCGATCACCAATACCCCATCACCGTGGAAACCTCAGAAAAGCAAATTCTCAAGCCAGGCACAATGGCACACACCAGTGATCCTAGCACTAGGGAGGAGGCAAAGCAGGAAAATTGGGAATTAAGAGGCCAGCCTGGACTAACAGTGAGTTCAAGGACAGCCTGGATTTCACAGCAACACCCTGTCTCAAAAAAATTAAACATCAAAAAAAAAAAAAAAAAAACAGAAAAGCAAATTCTTGGGCTTAGCCATAGACCCTCCAAGTCACACACTCTTCAGGGAAGCGGGGACAACCAGCAACCTATGCTTGAACAAACTTGCAGGGACATTCCAGTGCATGCTTAAGTCTGAGAGCTTCTCCACAGCAGGGTCCCTAGGGCCAGAAAGTAAACACTTTGAAGTTGGTGGGCTGTACACTTATCTGATGTAACCACTTGACTCTACCTTTGAGCACAAAAGCAGCTAAACACAAAATGTAAATGAATAAATGTGGCTATGTTCCAATAAAACTTTATAGGTAGGGGCTGCGGATTTAGTTCAGCAGCACTGTGCCTGCCTCACAGGAACAAGGTCTTAAATTTGATCCCCAATACCCCCCCAAAATAAAAACCTTTATAGGCAGAAGGCCACATTTAGCCTATGGCTGCAATGTACCTACTACATCCCAGAGGCACAGACTTCAGAAGCACAGACCCTGGATACTCCTACAAGAATGGGCTTTAAAATGTTCAAACCAAGCCTCCCACCAGCACGGGAGCTGAAGAATAAACTGCTCTGTGCCCCTTCTCCTCCTCCAGAAGTCCTCAAAGATCACGCAGGTGCACAGACCTGTCCCTGACCCACCTGGTGTCCCAGTATCTGACCCTGAATCCCAACACGAGCAGCAAAGGATTTCTTCAAAATGACAGTGACACCAGGTGGGATGCACCTGCCTGAAAAACTCATGGTAGAGAACGGCTGATGTGTTTGCAAACCACTGAAAGTGCCACTCAACAATGAGGCAGGCTGTGATCTTCAGGAAGGCAGTGAGGTGAATGTGTGCACCTGCAGGCCCAGCAACGGGACTCGGCAGACAGAACAAAGAGAAAAGAACATGGGCCCAGACAGGGACAGTGACAAGCCAGAGGACTTCTGACACACTGGTGAGAGGCGCCAAAGTAGGCCCAAGCCCCTGAAGCTGCTGCCTAGACCACCGATCCCACCATCATGTGGAAGGTGAGCAGAAAGACTGAGGAGGTGGTCCCCAGGCTCTCCTGCCCTAAACGGGCACAAGCACCCACCTCTCACACAAGCCCACCAGGGTCAGAGGCCACTCCAAAGCACGATGGAGACACACGCACTCTTCCCTCTCAAAGCTGGGATTGTGGGATTTAGGCCACTGGTTCTAATTTTTATATGCAGGAAGCAAAAAAGGCCTGCACCAAGTGCCGCCTCTGGGGAGTGTCTAGGGACACAAGGTTTAGACACAGTGATGCCCAGCCGTGCAGCCTGCGTGCTGGGAGCTAATTGGAAGTGCCTGGGGTCACAGCACTGGCGTCAGGACAGTGACCCCCGACCTCAGAGCTGGGAGTAGACCGGGGTACGATTACTACCTCTTGTCAAAGGTCGCCCCGTGGGTGGCGAAGGCCAGGCGCTTGCGCAGCTCGTTCCTCTCTCGGGTCATCAGCTGCAGCTGAATAGAGAGGTTCTCCACCTTCTCATTCACCTGCTGGTCAGCGGGGAGGGGCAGCGGGGACGGTGCCTTCCCGGTGGTGCCTGTGGGCAGGTATCAAAGAGTGAGATGGCATTTGGATGGCACTGTCCTAAAATCGAGGCATGTTAGCTACTCACAGCCCAGTAGGTGGGTCTTCAGCACCCGCCTTTCTCAGGTGAGAACACCAGGTCACAGACAGCACAAGGTGGAGCTGAGACCCAAGTCCAGGCCTGCTGGCATTGGCCGAGGATGCCCAGTCTCCACAGCCTGGCTCTGATACCTCCAGGATGGAGCTATTTGCATCCTAATCTTTGTATCTTTGCCTGCTCTGAGATGCCAGCTGTCACCAGGCATGGGCATGGCACAGAGGACAGCTCAGCCATGAGCAGAATCCTGGGGAGGAAGCCACATCTGGAACCCAGAAGAGCCCCCGTGCACCAGGACACCTGCCCACATACCGGTCCATCATCACCCACACAAGGCTGGACACTGGGTTTAGCCTTTCCCGCAGGCCAGCCTGCACGTGCCAGCACGGAGGAGGCTGCCGGTCACCGCTGAGCCCAGTGTGATGAGAAGCAGGAAGCCCCAGGGCCTCGGACTGCATGGCCCATCCCCGGCCTCATCTCTTGTCCCCTGTACCAGAAGGTTCTCCTGGGAACCCCAGGCCTTGTGTTCTGAGGGCAGCAGCCAGCACCACCTTTTACAAGTCCAGACCCATAGTTAGGAAGAATGCAGTTCATCCATCTGGGAGAAAACACTCTGTTCAAAGGTCTGGGAAAAGAAACTAGTCCATCCCTGTTGACAGGTCCATCTGACATCTCACCTCACCCCCGCGGCCCTCAGAGAGGACAGAGGAGCTCACAGCAGCCACCTCCTGCTGTGGATGGGACTGGGGAAGAATCTGCACCCCCATTCTGCGAATGAAGCCACAGAACTGTGTTCCTGGCCTTCAAGGAAACCAGGCGGCGGCAGCAATGAGGAGGCCGCAGGACAGAGGAGGGGCCCACAAAGTGCACACTGACACCTGCTGAGCACGCTCAGGAGCTGGGTTCTGCACCACACACGCATGTTCTCGCTCTTCTTTTCGATCCCACAGCTCCCTATGGTCTGTGCTTACAGCCTCCTGAGGATCCAGAAAGACCACATGGCCAGAACATCAGTGACCCCGCGTGGGCTCGGATACAACAGAACACTCTCGACCACGGCCTCGACCACTATGCGGCACTACCTCCGACCAGTGTGGACTCCTACTTCCGGCCCTGCCTCACAGGTAGGAGCACACAGGCCGAGAACCGGACAGGTGGCAGGCTCCGGACTGGGCCTCGACACACTTGTCCCTTCACAAGGGAGGGAGGGGAAGCTCAAGAGGTCACAGGGGACCCCAAGAGTCTCAAGACGTGCTAAGCCAAGGGGTTCTAAAACAACAGCAAGTTTCTCCCATACCCATTCACCCCTTACTTTTCAAATAAACTTTTGGCACCATGAGAAACTAATAAATTAATTAATCGATTACAGGAAATCCTCCACACCTCCATTCAGTGAAAACTACTTTTTGCCTTTACTTGCATTTCAGGGGTGAAAGATGTTCTCGGCACAAAGCAGTCCCACCATCCGAATGGGAGCCAGCACCTCAGGCCTCACCAAGCCTGAACTCACGTATTACTACACAACCAGCCCATCTGCCCTCTCTCCGTGGTTATTACCTGCGTGTCTCCTCCAGTGATTTCCAGTGATTTCCCCTCGGGACCACAAGGCAAAGGTATCTGAAGACAGACACCAAGTCCCTTTTCTACCTATCAGAATGACCGAAAAGGAAAATGACCCCAAATGCTGGCAAGGACGCGGTGCACCTCACAAAACAGCAAATCCCAAACATGGCTGGTGGCAGTATCATGTGGCACGGCAGTAGTTTCCAACAAAGTCAAATATGCAATTCCATTAGCACCCAGCGCTCTCACTCCTAGGCATCATCCCTCGAGAAATGAAAATTCATGTTCACACAAAAATCAGCAGAGCACTGGGGGCAGCTGCTGGAGAATGGATGAGCACCAAGCGGTGTTGTACCCGTCCGATGGGAGCCTTCTGGGCAACAGCAAGGAAGACCTTCCAACACACAGGGACCACTTTACCACCAGCGCACACAAGAGTGTCGGGGGGGGGGCGGGGGAGGCCCTAGGCTACGTGAAAGAAGCCAGACTCACTGGGCCCCATGCAAATGACACTCTGGGGAAGACAAAACCACAGGCACTAGGTAGAGATTAGCAGTTTCCTGGGACTAAGATGGAGGGAAAGGCTGATTACAAAATCGGAGAAAACCACCATCACCAAGTCAAGTCCCGGGAGGAGTTCTTCTAGGTGAAGGAGCTAGTCTATATCTTAAAGGTGCCACTGGTCAAGCAAGTGCATGTATCTGTCACAATTCAAACTGTGAGTGAAAGAGGATACATTTTACTCCATGCAAATTATACCAAAAGAATGTGATTTTTAAAACATTTTTTTTCCTTGAATTAAAAATTGTAAATGCAGAGCCCTGAACTGGATCCATGGTCCCAAGAGTAATATAACAGCTGAGAAAGATCCACTCTCACTGCAGTTATGGTAAACATTTTTTTAAAAACAAGCAAAATAAAAACTAATGCCGAGTGAGTTGTCAGCAGAAGCCTGCAGGCGCCCTTTCCCTGGCTCTAGCATCCGGTCCTGTGCTCTCTGACTTCACTCCTTCCCCTTCCCAGGCGAGCACCACCTAGAAAGAAGCAGCTTTTCCTTCCCTTTTGGTGTTTGCTTTGGATTTAAATGACCCCAAAAGGTGCAGGAAGATGTCGGGACAGCCAGCACAGATCCTGCACCGTGAATGAAGAGCAGACTGCCATCAGGGCCAGGCCGTGGGAGGGAAAGGAGGCACAGGAAGCAGCGGCACAGCAGCAGAGCCTGGTGCCCATCACACAAACCCCCAGGCAGAACATGGTGATCAGAGTTGCGCAGCCAGCCCCGCCTGCTGCCCAAGATAGCCAGAGCCAGCCAGGGGCACCCAGTGCCACGCTGAGCCTCTTCTTCAGCCACCACAGCTGCACACGTGAGCTCCTGAGAAATACAGGCTCTCAGGTGGCCCGATCACTCGGAAGCCCTGGAGTCACTCAGAGTCTGCCAGCCCAGGTGGCTCAGATGTCCACTGACCAGAGAGGCTTTTCTCTCCCTGTTTTACCAGCTGCCCAGTGGCCACTACATTTATTGGAACCCTGTTTTGCTTTTTGGAAACCCAAAACAAGACAAGCAGCAATGGCCTCTCCTTCCCAGCAACCTCCAGGCTCCAATCCCAGAAGCATAATTCCCAGAAGGCCCGACTTAAGCACTACCTCCTCCAGGAGGCTTTTCCTGATCCCCTGTCAGAACTCACTGTGCCTTTCCCGGGGCGACTTCGCTGTTCCTTCTGAGTAGGCAGCCAGGCCAGCCTACTAACCTCTCTCCCACCACTCACTTCTCTGGCTGTGAGGTAAGGCTAGGGAACATGCCTCCGGGTGATCCCTGTGGACACTGAACACGTCTCTAACAGGAGGAGGTGTTCCCACATGCCTGGCGAACTGAGAAATGACAGGTTCCCAAGGGCTACCGTGATCTAAAAGGTTGTCCAGGAAGAGTCAGGCAGAGGTCATGGGGAGCAGCCCTGATCCTGATGACTCACCGTGGTCCCCTGTCCCTTCCCTCCTTCAAGAAGTCCTCACCAAGACTTGAGGGAAATCCCCCTCCTCTTCCCCCTTGGCATTCAGGCTCACTTTGTGAATGCTGCCCAGGGCTATCTCTTCCCCTCCTCCAAACCTCCTTAGTTATCCAGGATGAGAAAGAAAAGGCTACTGAGAAATCAGGTCAGGATGAATGGGGAGGAAAAAAACAGCAACTGCCTGAAGAGAGCAAGGTTTCCCAAGCAGATGCGTAGAGTAGGTTAGGGACCAGCCCAGAGGGTGTGCAGAGCTACAGAAAAGCTGCTCCAGGTGGGGAGAAGAAAGGGCCCTGCAGCCTTCAGGGGGAAGGCAAAGACCTAATGCATCGTCAGCAGGGTCCCAGGTGAGGTGGGGTCAGCAGGAGCATTAGGCCCCCAGGGACCTGTCAGAGCCTGTCACAGATGCTCCATCCCCCCAAAAAACCTCACAGTTTGACAGCCAGATGGGGGGAGGCGAAGCCTGAGAACTTGGATTCCTCAGAGCTGTCCTCACCATGCCAGTGCCCTCCACAAGGGACTCTAGAGCAGTGTCTCTGTTCACAAGGAGATATTACAGCAGCAGTCTCCAACCTTTCTGGCATCGGGACTGGTATGGTAGAAGACAATTTTTCTAAGGGAGATGGGGGGGGACGTTGGAATGCTTCAAGTGCATCCTATTTATTGTACATTTATTTTATTATTATTAGATTCTCATAAGGACCTTGAAACCCAGATCCTCACCTGTGCAATTCACAGTAGGGTTTTACTGCCCATGAGAATCTAATGCCCACTGATCTGCTAGAAGGTAAGGGTCAGCTGGTGACACTAGCGATGGGAAACAGCTGGGCATACAGATAAAACTCTGTGTCCCACTGGTCACCTCCTGCTGTGCTGCCCAGTTTCTAACAGGCCACAGTGGCTGGCAAGTTGGGCACCCCTGCATTAGAGCGACTGGCCCTCTTCTGCCCGTGGCATATGTGACAGTGGACTTGTTCTTCATCTATCACGCTCCAGATGGGCACGCCTAGCCACAGCTGGCTACAGAGCACCTGAAATGTGGCTCTTTTGTGACCGCAAAAGTAGAAATTTAAATTTCATTTAACTTTAATTCATTTAAACAGCCAGCTGTGGCTGGTGGCCCTGGACACTGTCAGATCTGGCTATGACGTGTGGTACTACACCTGCAGACAGCCCACCACAAGACAAAAAGAGGGGCCCAGAGCAGTGGCCAGGCCAGGATGCAAGGCTGTGCATTTCCTGACTGGCTACGGCAGTGTGGGAGTGTGTTTGTTCCCTGCTGCCTACACCCAAAAGGCACTGTCAACTATAAACTGAAGAAAGCAAGACGTGAGAAGGCTTTGAGCAGAAGAAATGCACCTGAGCTCACAACACTGAAAAGCTGGGCACCAGCAATACAGGAGGAGCTGCTACACAGTGCCCATCACAACAGTGCTCGCAGCCTGCCTGGGACACCCACGGAGCATATGGGGACACTGCTGACCTCCATCACAAGGGCCAGAGCCACTGCACTGTGCGGAGCCAATGGACGGGTCACCACCACGGTGCTTCTCCCAGAGTGTGTGCGGGTCCGGCTGCACAGGAAGCATTCTCCCACTCTCCTGGGAAAGGCACTGTGAGCAGTAACTGCCATGGGAGGAGCAAAGCCTCTCCCGCAGTGAGAACGCCTGTGCTCCCAGGAAGGGCACTGCGGCAAGCCTGGGAGTGTCTGTGTGAACGAGTCTGTCAATATCTATTAGATGATGGGCGAGAGACAGCTGACTGCCTTACCGGGCGCTTCCTGAAGGGCTGGACCGTATTCATGATTCTGACAATGAGGCCTTAAGGCTTCCCTTATGGCCGGCCTGCCATGTGGGACTCAGGGAGCTCTGCCCCGTGGTCCAGAAGAGGCCTCCTGAACCCGATTGGTTGGGGGGTTGGGTTGAACTGTGGTCTCCAGCAGATGTTAAAGTCCTGACTCAGTACCACTGTGTCCTTATTTGGAAACAGGCTTACTTAGTAAGTTCGAGGCCAGCGTGAATTATACAGTAAGAACCTGCTTCAAAACAACAAAAAATGAGGCTGCGGATTTAGCTCAGTGGTACCTCGCCTGCCTTCCAAGCGCAAGGTCCTAGGTTCAATCCCTGGTGCCAAACAACAACAAAAATGAATGAATGAGCGCGCACACACACACACACACACACACACACACACACACACGGGGAGAACACTACGTGCACACAGGCAGGGAGAAGGGTGATGCGGCTATAAGCCAAAACCACCAAGGACTGCCAGCCACCCATGAGAAGCTAGGAGAGAAGCCTGGGACAGATCCCATCCCAGCACCCTCAGAGAGTGGCCCCGCTGATTCTTCCGTCTCAGGACTTGTGGCCTCCAGGACTGAGACGGTGACTGTCACTGTCACAACAGCCACAGAAGTCCTGGCAGGCTCACCCGGGACCCCCGGCTGGCACCTGTCTGCTTCCCTCCTCACACTGACCTCCCATGTTGCTGTGATTAACCTAATGGTCGTCCAGAGACCCTAAGACCCAGGAGTGAAAGGACCACAACTGCCCCGTTCACCACGAAGTCCCACGCCCACCCCAGCATGCCAAGAGAATTCAGAAATGACCTGACACAGTGACATCAGCCCCTGGCTTGATTCCAGAATCGTGGGAGTGAGACTCCGCACTCTGATAACACTGCTGACCCTCCTTCCCCACCTCTCTGGGGGAGAAAACAAAAGAAGTGCACCAGATGCCATTTTTAAGCTCTACCAGCTCAAAAACTCCAGGACTCAGCCTAATGATGTTTCCATCCTCACAGTCGGAGTGGGACACGAGAAGTCACCCCAAAGGCTGGGTCTGAGAGGCTGGGAAGGCTGAGAGCATGGTACAGCTTTCCCGCTGGGCCCATCGCCAATGACAAAAGGCAGGGCAGGCTCCCCTCGTCGGCTTCAGGGACCCAGGCTCAGGAACATCGGGTCCAGGACTGGCTACTCAGGTGGGTCTCAGATTATGGTCACTGCGGTACCACAAAGCCTTGGGGGAAGGAAGAACACTAACTAGGCTCCCTGAGAAAGCCGAGACCCTAGAGGAAATGAATGGCAGACACGTGCCTCCCTGTACCCGCCTCCCTCCTAACACTGAAAGATGATCCCACTGACACTGTGACAAGGAGGCTCCGCCTCGCAGGCCCAGAACTGTCCTGTGCTATCCGTCTCACACCGGCATCCAGGCCAGTCTAGTATCCTCCACGAAGGAGGGACTCACCCACACTGCTGAGGGAGCTGCTGCTCTCCGAGTCCGAGGGCATGATGGACAGGACGCTGTAGGTAGACCCTGGGGACAGAAGGGGAGATTGTGTGTTACCAGCCCAAAAGGGCCTCTCATCCGCACCCCAGGCACCATCAGGCCAGCTAATCCAAGGCAACACCACACCACTGACTGGAAGTGGCATCCATGCTCAACAGGTATGCCACGGCAGGATCTGGGATTAGCTATTTCTGCCTGGACCCATAGCTCACTTTATCCACACCACCTGCTCTCTAAATATCTTCTCTCTCTCTCTCTTTTTTTTTTTTTTTTTTTTA